TTAAATTATTACAATTATTAACCTATATTTTTTGTTGATGTTCTAATAAATATATAAATAAATACATAATATGTTGATTTTAATAATTTAATAGCATTATGACGCAGAGTAAGTAATGTTTTTGCACGTGAGTGTACCATGCGCGAACTTACCCCCACTACGTCGACAAATGCTCAAGAAGTTTGCCGGCTATTATACCATAGTTGTTATTAGTTTGAAAGTAAAAGTGTTTCAAAACTTTTTTCTCCGTTTGTTAGTAAACGAATGTAGCCATATAAGTATATATTCACGCGGACAGTTTTTGCTTTAATTTTATACGTATCCCTTTATCTAGTTACTATTGTTGATCGAAGCGTGTAATGTTGCTTAATACACGAACGGAACCGAGTGAGCGAGACAGACCGATCGACGTTGCAACGCGATGGCTTGACGTGCTGCGCTTACAGCACTACGCAAAATAAATGAGCAAGCGACACGGAATTATTCCTAGTGATTTTGAACCGTATGCCCTGGCCTCTAGGTACATTTTTATACCTATGGTACGTCTGAATTTTAATATAGGTATTTGTGTTTATATTTTTCATGCGGCCAGCCGGTAGTTCCCCACAAGTAGTTACTTAATTTTTTATTCGCAACTTTTGTAAAATCGCTAGTCTCTCGTAATTGTTTAGTAATATTTCATATTAATTTTTGTGTTTAAAATACTTAAGCACTTGTTTGAAGATAGTTTTATTATTTGTTTTAATGCGTGTTTAATAAGTGAAAGAAAGAATGGCGTCTAAATGAAAGTAGAGTCCTCTTTGGATGAACTTTGAGGAGACCGCGCCGAAACAATGCGTCTACTGCTCTCGTATATTAACATTATCGTCGAACTCAATTTGCAGTCTAAGTCGCCATATGAAATCCGTTCATCCCACAATAAATTATAAAAATAAAATTATTATATTATTAAGTAAGTCAATCTCTGTCAAGTAATATAACAGTGTATTACAATACAAAGTATGATGAACACATCACTTAGGTAATGATTCGGGTGTATAGATACAATGTATTCGTCGTCACAGTATCTATTGAACGCACCGAGTAATGTTAAGAGTGATGTGTAATGTTTTCGAGTAATATCACCTGTCTGTAAAAGTGATGTCATATCACATTACACTGGGAAGTGATGTTTTGCGCAAGTCTAATCGAGAGGGACAACGTGCAGGGCCCGCCTATAGTAAATGGCAGTCCCGCCTTTGGAGGCGGTGAGTCTGTCATTCCTAACCATGACGTAATTCGCGACTTTCGGGTCTCGATGCGAGGGCTTCAGGCAGGTCTCCTGCACTAGCAGAATATCTACAAGATTTTCGCGGAGGAATTCGTAAATTTGATCGCGTTGCCGCGCGAGTCCGTTAGCATTGTAGAATGCTAACGTAAGGGAATATGGTTTCTCTCTAGCGTTTTGCGCAATTGGTTACCGGTAGATTTTTAGAGAGTACGGGCCACGGACTCGTAAACGTCCATGTGCTCAAACGCGGCCGCGAGCCGTTGTTCGGGGGTTATCGCCCTTCGAATCGCGTCTGCGAACGATCGCAGTCGGTCAAAGTTGACCGTGGTGACGAAGTCGCGTACGTGCGCGAAGTCGTTGACGGCTGAGGGTTGCGGGGGACGGTACGCGGGCGCGGGGGGAGGTGCGAGCAGGGGCTGCGGCGCGGGACGTGTCGCGAGCGGGGGCTGGGATGCGGTTTGTGTTCCCGACTTCATATACGGCAGCGGTTTATTCCACGCCGAGACGGTGGGAACCGCAGCCGGTACGAAGGCGGGTTTCGGTGCTGAAGGCACCGAAGTCTTTCGGCCGACGGTACGAGGGGCTGGGTGGGTCGGACGTTTACGCGGAGCCCTAGGACATCCACGGTAGTTCGCGGGGTGCCCTTGCTTAAGGCATAGGACACAGCTCGGAGGTTCGGTCGCGGTTTCCCTAACTCGCGAGCAATCTAACGTGGCGTGATCGCCGAGGCACTTCACGCAGCGGGGGCGCGCGTGGCAATTCCGAGCCGAGTGGCCATAGAGTTGGCATCTGTGGCACTGTCCGGGAGTGCCACGTCTATGGGGGGCTTCAATGGTGACCCCGGATAGGCCGCATACTGTCGCGAGACATGCGATCTTCCTTTTGGCCTCCGGGGTTGGTTCTAATGCGACTAGAACCATGTTATATGGTTTTTTGTCACGTCCGTTGACGACGACGCTGCGAAAACTAGAGGGAAGAAGCCCGAACGACTTCCTGCTCACCGACCCGGACCTGCTGCAGTCGCTGCCCGGAGTGATGATACGCTTCAGGCAGCACGCCGTCGCCGTCGCCGCGGACATCGCGGAGATGATCATACAGATAGGCATCCGAAGCGAGGACCACGACGCGCTCCGGTACTTGTGGAGGGAGGACCCTTCACGAGAGCCTATAGAATACCGGATGAGGGCCATCGTCTTCGGCGCGACAAGCTCACCTGCAACCGCCATCTAAGTGAAGAACCGACTGCAGTACCCGGACGCCGCCGACCTCAAGCTCCACACGTACGTGGATGCCAGCAAGTTCGCCCACGCCGCCGCGTTGTACTGGCGCGTGGAGACGCCCGACGGGGAGATGAGGACCTCCCTCGCCAAAGCCCGAGTTGCGCCCATGAAGCTAACAGTGATACCGCGCCTCGAGCTACATGCCGACGTGATGGGAAGCCGCATGGCCGCGGCCGTCACGGAAAAACATTATAGAAAACCAGACACGAGTGTTCTGGACAGACAGCGCCACCGTACTGACCTGGCTACGAACGGGGTCGAGGTCGTATCGACCGTTCGTCGCTCACCGCATTGCCGCGATAGAAGAGAACAGCACTGTGGAGGAATGGCGCTGGGTCCCCACAAAGGAAAATGTCGCCGACGACGCCACTAGAGAAATACCCGTCGGCTTTGAAAGAAACCACCGCTGGTTCATAGGCCTGGAATACCTAAGACGGCATCCGGATGATTGGCCCGTACAACGGACTGCAAGAAGGGCAGAAGAGACGGGTGAAGAGAAGTGCGCAACGCTCGCCGTGAGCAGAGAGAGCCTCGGCGAAGCGATCCCGGACCCAAGACGCTTTTCCAAGTGGGAGAAGTACCTGCGTGCAACGGGGCGAATACTACAATTCGTCGACCTATGCCGCAGAAGTCGCGAGCGCACTTATTACAAGAGGACCAGACGGAACCCGCACTCGGACCCGACGTGGGAGAAGAACGTGAAGAAGACGACTTCGAAGACCCCGCTGAACACACCGCGGACGCCAGAGCAAGCAGTCGTTCAATGGAAGACTTTAGACGCCGACACGCTTCGACGCGCCGAGACGCTCATTTGGCGACAGAGCCAGCGGGCGGCCTTCGAGGAAGAGATTTTGACGCTCCAGCGAGGGAAACAAGTATCCCCAGCGAGCTGACTGCGAAACTTGTCCGTAACTTACGCGGACGGGATATTAAGAATAAACGGACGCATCGGCAACATTGAGGGAGCTGACGTCGTCACCTCGCCTCTCGTGCTAGACGGATCCCGACGCGAAACGAGACGCCTACGCCCAGTGACACGGAGCGTAATCCACAACTGTCTTCCGTGTCGTATCCGCAAGAACACTCCACCGCGTCCAGCCACAGGCGACCACCCACCGAGCAGACTGGCACACCATCGGCGACCATTCACATACGTGGGCCTCGATTACTTCGGACCGTATCAAGTTACCACCGGCAGAAGCACCCAGAAGCACTACGTGGCCATCTTCACATGTCTCACTACGCGTGCGGTACATTTAGAACCGGCAGCGAGCCTCAGCACTGACTCAGCGGTGATGGCACTCCGGCGCATGATCGCGCGCCGGGGAGCTCCGACGGAAGTATGGAGCGACAACGGCACCAATTTACGAGGTGCTGACAAGCAGCTGCGCCAAGCTTTGGACAAGGCGACCGAGCACGAAGCGAGCTTAAGGCTTATACAATGGCGCTTCATCCCACCGTGCGCGCCTTTCATGGGCGGCGCCTGGGAGAGAATGGTGTGGGCGGTAAAGGCCGCGCTCTCGGCCACGGAGCAGCCGAGGCACCCGACGCCCGAAATATTTCACACTCTGCTAGCTGAAGCAGAATTCACCGTGAACAGCCGACCTCTCACTCACGTATCGGTGAGCGCCGACGATCCCGACCCTCTAACGCCGAACCACTTCCTGCTGGGAGGCCCGGCGCGAGTCCCCGTGCCGGGCAAGTTTGACGACGCCGACCTCATAGGGCGCGCACACTGGCGCGCAGCTCAACGTCTGGCAGATGTGTTCTGGAGTCGCTGGCTCCGGGAGTACCTGCCCGACCTGCAGAACCGGCGGGAGCCCCACAGCCGCGGGCCCGCCCTTAAGATAGGCGACGTCGTGATAATAGCAGACGGAACGCTCCCACGCAACACCTGGCCACGTGGGATCATCCAGGAGGTTTACCCAGGGGCCGACGGCATCACTCGAGTGGTCGACGTGCGCACCGCCGGCGGTATCTTGCGACGCCCGGCAAAGAAGATCATCGTGCTGCCCACGATGTCCGCCGCTCACCAGGGAGGATGCAGCGACGTGAACGACGCTGCACGGCGGGAGGATGTTCGCGACAGACATAAAGAAACATAGTTAGAATAAGATATTCCCGAACGGACATAAATGATTGAAAATAGTTAAATAGATATTGTTCGCGACGGACATAGATAGTTGTAAAAATAGATAGAAAATATAGTTATAGGTTGGCTGTAAAATAATAGTAAAAATGTCCGTAAATAGATAAAGAATATCCGAATAAATAGTTATGTTAAGAATATGTTGGCGTAAAATAGAGAATAAATAGATAGTACGCTAAACATAGAAATAAGTAATTTGTAAATATTGTATTTTGTTTGTAAATAAAGATTGGTCCTCGTGGTCTTTAATTTGGGGTGGGAACGCAGGAGCGAGTCACAATACGGGCGAGCACTAATGGAGCGACCAGGCAAACAATAGGCGAGCGAGGCGGCCGAGAGAACAATAGACGCCCACCGTGCTCGGACTCATAATAGCGCTGGCCGAGTGCGCGTGGGCGACCATAAATAAGGGGCCTACCTCGCTGCAAAATTCCAGGATTCCCCGGGGTACCAGTGCGAGTGACGGACGTGTGAACTAAGGCTGTGCTGACTTGGATACTCTCCTCATCGCGAGTGTACAAAACTCTTGAAGTTCTAAGTTCTGTGTAGGCGCGCTGTCAACGCTCCGAACAGAACAAATTCGGGACCCGGGACCAGGTAAGTCGAACGACACTTTATTTCTTAACATTTGTTAATTGCGGGTAGGTGTCGTTCATACCTGTTAAGCTGCGTACTCACTTTATTCTGAGAATAAAATTGAGTTACGTTAGCGCCGCTGAGTCTGGCCACCTGTGTCCGATCCCAGTCCTCCCCTACCCTTCGGGGCTAGGAAGGGCTGATTCTAAACCCGAACTGGCAGTCGGATCAGTATAGGCTAGAGTACATGGGTGTAGGTGCCTTAGTTAGTTTAGTTTAGATTAGTGTAAATAATAGTTTTTAGTTAGTATAGTTACCACCATAGTTTCCACCCCCTTAGTCTCAGTTAAACCTAGTTTTGATAAATTAATAAATAAATAAAAATAAAAAAATCAATTAAATTAATTCATTTTAAATTAATAGTCTGCTCTCAGCTTTACAACAATCCCTTATCGCATCACTTGTTTTGTCACATCTATAGCCAATAGGAATCGTTGTTTTATTTTAAATTGAAATAACACACATTCCTTCTTCCAAATTACAGAATTCCTCCATTTCTACCCTCTTTCACTTTAATATTTTTAGATTTCAATACATTTAATTTTTTACCTTAATTTAGCTACGTAATCCGACTGA